AAAAAAAAAAAAAAAAAAAAAAAAAAAAAAAAGAATCAGTCCAGAGGACGAACTGGAGGCAAAATAAATGTAGAAAAGGAGGAAAAAAAACGAATTCTGAAATTTGTTACTAAAAGCATTACCTTATTTCTGACACCATTTAGCTGCTTTTAGAGAAAACCAAGCTTATTCCAGTGTAAATAACAAAAAGATCGCCTGTATTATCAGAAGCAACTACAATAAACCCCTCTTGTAATTATCTAATTGCGGTAAAGATATTATTTTCTTTTCTATTTTTTCTTTTTCCTCCTCTGTTTCTATCCCGCAAAAACGCATAATTTTGACAAAATCTTAGAAGCGCTAATTCGCCGGCAGAAAAAACTGTCAGGAGAGGGCAACAACACAAAAAACAGAAAAGGAAAAAGCACTGCCAGAGAAAAACAGTATAACTAATTCGAGAAAAATAAATTCCAAAAAGTTCCACTTATTCAACACTACAATTTATTTTTGAAATAAGCAGAAAGCGAAAAAAACAGCTGATGGAAGGAATGTATATAATTCTGTCAGAACTTAACTTTTGAAAAAACCTCTTTCAGCCAAACAACATTTGAGGGAAGGCAAGTGGAAAGAAAAAGTTTCCTTCAACCTTCATACTGTTTCTTCCTAATCCTGTCTGCAAGAGTGATGGTTGAAATGCAGCAACACTGGTAACACAAACTGTCAAAACTACTGAAAATCTTATGATTTTTAATGTGTGAACGAATATAAAAAAGAAAAAAATTTTTTTCCTTCCCTCCTTCACCGTTGTTCAATATTTACCTTTCAGAAGGGGAAATACAAACATAAGTTGAAGAAAAAACTATTATCAAGAGAAACAATGAATAGCGTAACAATTCAACAGAATCCAAAACAAAGGCAGATCTTAGACTCTTCCTATTATCAACAACCTTTTGAATCATTTTTACTAATAGTGAATACAGGTACAAAACGTACAAACAACAAGTACTGTTGCTGCCACTTACAAGGGAATTCCTGATTATCACTAATTATTATCTGCTAATCATATTACCAAGGCAGCAATTTCTTCAAAAAATTCATTAACAAATCCTTAATAACTACAACGACTATAAGCGTAATGTAAAAGCAGCAGCAACAACAATGACAATACTAATAACAGTAAACTTAATGCTACTACCGTCAGTATCAATGCGAGCGCATGAGAACGGTGTAATTGATTGTCGCTGGCTGTTGCGCTTTAGCCTTGTGCTTGAACTTTTCGATTACGAAATTATGGAAATTGTGTCGCTGTTGCTGCCAGAAAAGCTGTTACTAATAAATCAGCTCTACTGTTCAGCTTCGTTTCCTGTGCCCTCATTAAAAACTCTTCATCGAAAAAACTGGAAATTTTTTTTTATGATTCAGCTATATTAACAACGACCATTGCTGAATATGTGAAAAGAACTGTTAAGACTAGAAACTTTGGCAGCCCTTTTCAAAAGACTTTTTCCCACTTTGGTTCTTTCGAACAGGTAAAAACACATTTAAGGAATTTCAGTTGTAGGTGAGTAACACCTATAATTTCGCTTACTAAAAAAATGCACAGGAAAAACTACATCACCAATTCAGTTTTATGGTACTTTCCAAACAAAACAGTGTGCAATGGCAACAAAGAAGCCACAAAAACCGTTATCTCGAACAAAACGCGCATTGAACTATGATAACGAGTTGATAAAATTCAAAAGTTAAAACAAAAAAAACAAGATAAAAAAAACACTTTTAGGTCGTAAAAAATCACTAGTTCAAGACAACTGTTTACATTAGTGTTGAAACTTCGAGTCCGTCAAAAGATCAAGCAGATATGAAAGAAACAAGGAGAATAATGCAGATCAATATCAATTTTCACACAGCAAAGTAAAAAGTGAGTAGTTACAGTGGAAGCTACGACACTTTTTTAAAAGCTACAAGCCACCACAACTGCTCATTCTTACTTCAACGTTCAAACTACCACTAGATTGTCCATCAGAAAACATTTATATATATGAGCGATTCCACGTCAAATCGCACGCTTTCTAATCAACCCCGCAGATTTTTTTTTTTTAAATTTTGCTAACTTGTGGGACTTAATGCTCGATTGCAAAAGCAAAAGAGTTTATTATAAATGAACGCTGGCGGTAAAGTTAGACCGTCCCAAAATGCAAAAAAAAAAACACAGTTCTCGATAAACATGATCCATAGTCATCTTTTGCAGGTTATATTTTTGTTTGTTCGAAAAGGATTTACAAAAATTTTACTTCAATTGTAAAAGCGCCTCATGCCGAATCGGAAGAGCGGTGAAATGCTTGTATTAACAATTTTCATACAAAATTTATGTAAAAACAGCGAGTCAAAATGTTACTTTTGAGAAAAACAATATCTCAAATATTTTTAAAAAAATATATTTCTTGAAGATATCAATTTGTACAAAATATCAAAATCGCAAGGTGCTTCTTTTACAGGATTTGCAATTAGTGAGAATAGACTGCAAAAATCCTTCAGTTTGCGCAACATTTTGAAGCCTCAGTGAGCAAAATCCTCTCTGTTGCGAAAGAAGTCTCGTTAAACGTCACAATATACAATTTGTTTGTGTTCTACCGGTTCACTAACAGGTACACAGCTGAATTTTTTTTGCTTTCGAATAATTTCAAAAATTTGTTTAGCAATAATTATTGCCACAATTAGTTTTTCACTTT